GGAGACAAAATTATGTTTTTTGATACTGAGACTGGACGAGTGGATCTCGGCAAACTGCCGACTTCAAAAGTAGCTCTTGGTTCAAAAAAGTTTGGGCATCCCTGCTGTAACGTAGTGTCTATAAAAGATGTAGATCTGAGAGACACACAGTTTATAAGTTACCTCTTTTCTCTACTGTAATAAAAAAGACTATTGTAAACATGGACCCATCTGCATCCAACTCACTGAGGCCAGTTTACATAACTGTTTCAGTTTCAGCCGTTCGTCACAGGAACCTAAACCTTTTGAAGCCAGGTGTCTGAGTGGAGGCTTTCAGAACTCAGTGTGAAAGGACAGGTGCAGTATGGATGGCTGCAGTCACAGTTGTTCTGAGCAGTTCCACAGCAGTATCAGTGATTACGCTGCAGAACAAAGTGTTGCTGCACGTCTTGTTGAAACCCAATCAGGGTWGCCAGGTCTACGATAGTTACTGTTAAAGGTCTAAAACCTCCACTCTGAGACCCGGAATTCAAAGAGCTTCAGTTTCAGAAGAAACCAGTGCAGTTGTCACAAACASACATCCACACTGCAGTGAATCCTACTCAACAACCGCATGATGTCAGCTGGACCAACATGTTTCTGTTTCACAATCAGAGAACAGCAGTTAGTGTTCACAGACTGACGGGTTTCTGAGAAAACAGAAGTGGATCTTTATCTGCTAATGTATAAAAGTGGTATGCAAAACGGATTTTTTTTTATCTTTATATTATGTTATAAAGTAATTCCCTCAACAAAACATCCCCAGAGTGTTGCTTCTCCTGTGGTAACCACGAGGAGCTGCATAAACACTTGCTGCTACAAAGCTCCACCCAGGAGCTCAGTCTGCAGCTTTTATGACTGGTAAATTACCACCAACGTTAAACCAGGCATCAATCTCTCTCATTTAAAAAAAAAAGATAAAGATCCTCTTAGTTGCTCGTCATACAGACCTATTAGCCTACTACTGTAAATGTGGACTTTAAACTTTTGTCCTAGTTGTTTGCCCTTCGTCTGGAATTAGTGTTACTAAATATAATTTCTACAGATCAAACAGGATTCATTAAAATTCATTTTTATGGAATCATTTTTTAACTTAAGACGACTCTTTAATACCATCTATAATCTCCCGCTAACAACTTTACCACAAGAAATTTTCCCATTAGATGCTGAGAAAGCATTTGATCGTGTTGAATGGGCATATTTATTTTACATTTTAGAGAAGTTTGGCTTTAAGGACAATTTTATTTCTTGGGTGAAGCTCCTATACTCCTCACCCTCAGCCTCAGTAAGAACAAATAATAATTACTC